TGGAAACTTTAAGCAATACAGTATTAGGTTAAGTTGCAATACCTCTGACCTCAGACGGTGTGATTCTGTGACTTTACTCTACAGCAGCTATGATTAGGTGACTTACCTGCTTGACAGGTGTAAATGTTGTGTTCCCTGCTCTTATTGTGTACATCAAATACATGCAAGTGCTAGGGCGGTGTTCAAGTAAAAATGTACCCATTTATATCAACCCCGGGCAATTCAAACTGAAGTACATACCTGTTTTACCTGACGCCGGTCTTCCGTTACCTTTGAAGTCTCTTTATGTTCTCGAATCATGTCCTCTCGTATTTCAGCGGTATTTATCGTCAAAGGAGAAACAGAGACCAACTCCAGTAAAGGTGTTTCATATCGAGGCCAAAACTGGTTGATTTGACTTGCTTAAAGTTTTTGGGCAAGTGTTTATGTACAGACTTTTGATCACCACCATCAATAGGCTGTTGACTATTTCACGTTGTCTGGTCATATAATGCCACTATTTGTTCAAAGAATCATTGGCATTATAAAGGGGGTTGGCAGTTAATTGAGGGAAATGTATAAAGGAATTCACAAGAAAACGAGAAAATGGGACATTGAAATATGTTGGCGGTAAGCGAGGTAGCAATTGAAATGACGGGCATTATATCAAGGTTTAATAGGCGAGCTATGCTGTTCCCCAACAGCTCTTGTTCTAAGGGCAGTCCATAATGCAGATCTATTGAGAATGTAATTGTGCTTTTATGGGTGTATTTGTTCGTCTAGCTACTACAGATTATTGTTTACAGAACAAATTGTTAGCAAACATTACTACTGTTTATTGCAAGCTGTGTCAATAGTTATCGTTAACTGTCTAGCTGATTTACGTTTCTTCAGTATCGCCTCTGTAACCATTACCTACTCGTGTTGCATACTCGGGACATCAAAGATATACTTATATTAGGGCATATATATATATATATATATATATAGTGACAATAGTGTCTTTGGTCGTTTTTACATGCAAGCATTAAAATATTTTTTTGTGGTGATGACACTTTATCCAATACACCATTAATTGGGTCGTTGAAAAATGATTTTTTACAAAAATATTTCTCATTCTTGAGACGATCCAAATTATCCTGCAACCATGCTATTTTTTCTTCGTGAAATACCCGGCATTACTCGGACAGAACTCCAAACGAGTTTATCATAAAACTAGAATACAGTATAGGCTACTATGGAAATTTATTAATTTCTTACTTAAAGCAATTGTCGTGAAGTTGGGTTTAAATACAAGAGGCCCAATAGGCCTAAAACGCTCACCTGGTATTAATCTCACACTTGTACAATGTAATCTTAAAAGTTGACTAAAATACAGCTTCAGGCAGAATATCAGTGTTTGATTCGTGATAACCTATTAAAAGATTTAAACATATGACGCCTGTGACCTAGAATGTCCAACAAGGACATTAGGTTGAACAGAGTATATATCCTTCCAACCCAGCATGCCTCTGGCAAAAGTCATTACCCTGGACCACTTGGTTATACAGAACAAGTCATTTAAAGAGTTAAACGTGTATTGACCACTGTGACCTTGAATATGGGCGAAGGTCATTTATTTGAACAAACTTCGTATTCGTTCTTTCCAGCATGTTAATCGCCAAGTATCATCACCCTTGGCCTTTTGCTTATTGAGAAGTTGTTTAAAGGTTTTAAACATATTCGACCCCTGTGACCTTGAATATACGTCAAGGTCATTTATTTGAACAAACTTGGTAGCCCTTCATCCCAGCATGCTACTGGCCAAATATCATTATCCTAGGCATTTTGGTTATTCATAAGAAGTTGTTTACATATTTGACCCCAGTGACCTAGAATATGGGTGAAGATCATTCATTTGAACAAACATGGTAGGCCTTTATCACAGCATGCTACAGGCCAAATATCATCATCCTAGGTTTTTGGATTATTGAGAAGTTGTTTTAAGGTTTCAAACATATTTGACCCATGTGACCTTGAATATGTGTCAAGGTCATTCATTTGAACAAACTTGGTAGTTCTTCATTCAAGCATGTTACTGGCCAAATATCATGATCCTAGGCCTCTTGGTTATTCAGAAGTTGTTTAAAGGTTTTAAACATATTTGACTCCTGTGACCTTGAATATATGTAAAGGTCATTAATTTAACAAGCTTGGTATCCTTTCATCCTAGCGTGTTACTGGCCAAATATCATTATCCTAGGCCTCTTGGTTATTTAGAACAAGTTGTTTAAAGGTTCCAAACATATTTGAACCCTGTGACCTTAAGTATACGTGAACAAACTTGGCAGCCCTACTACTTGCCAAATATCATCACCCTGTGCATTTTGGTTATTCAGAAGTATTAGTTTAAAGTTGTTTACATATTTGACCCCTGTGACCTTGAATATGGGTGAAGGTCTTTTATTTGAACAAACTTGGTAGCCCTTCATCCCAGTTTGCTTCTGGCCAAACATCATCACCGAATACCTCTTGGTTATTAAGAAGAAGTTGTTTGAAGTAAAATATTGAAGACGATCGGATGACAGACACCGCACCGCAGCATAAGCTCACTTGGCCCTTCGCACCTGGTGAGCTAACCAGTATTAAAATGCACATTTGAACGCACGTAGAAGTATTGTAGTGCAAAGGTTTGGAAACTAGTTTAATTCATACTCATATACTGAAAAGAAGTCAGTCATGGAGCAATACATAAGTTTGATATTTTTCATTCAAATATGCAACCCACAAGTGAAATATAACTGTCATTCGTTTAGAAACCAATAATAGTGTTTATTATTTTTTCCTAAATACAGAGACAGGATTTCTGTGCAAGGAAAGTCTGTCTCCAACCAATAAAGCTTTAAGGCGTGGAAAGCTGCATTTTAAAGTCACAATAACCCATTTATCCCTAAAGTCACATGTACTTACCAAATCAAAGACGAGGCAAGTCCAGTTTAGATATGTAGGGGTGAATGAATTCAGACAAGAGATCCCAGAGGGATCTTGGCGCCCAGCATTCTTTGTCAGTTCGATCTTTTCTCTAATCTGTTTGATCGAGCCATGTTAGCAGTAAATTCACCTTGAGGAAACTTTTGATCTAAACTAATACTGCTGTGTATAAAAGATTACTTTCAAAGTGAGTTTGTCATTTCACATATTTACTAGTACAGTACTTAATGTGAAAGAAATAGAACTGATCGTTGCAATATGAAAAAGATGGCTGCCTGTCGGCCATTTTTTTAATCTGATCAGTTTCAAAAGTAAACATGCACAACGAGGGAAGAAGGGGATGCTACATATAATATTTGAGAAAGATTCCTCCAGTGCTTCCGAAGTAATATAGCGATAACAAACTTTTACTGTAAAAATCCAAAATGGCTGTCGGTCGGCTATTTTGTTTATCTAATCATTCTCAAAATTAATAATGCAAAACAACAGACCAGCGGGAACCTACGTGTTAAATTTGAGAAAGATCTCTTCATTACTTATTGAGAAATAACAAAAAAAAAAACATTCACTGTCAAAATCAAAGATGGCTGCCTGTCCGCCATTTTGTTTATCTTATCAGTCTCAAAAGTAAACCTGCACAGCAAAGGACCAAGGGGAACCTGCATATCAAACTTGAGAAAGATCCCTCCAGTACTTCTTGAGAAATGGCAATAACAAACCTTCACTGTCAAAATCCAAGATCGCTGCCCGTCCGCCATTTTGTTTATCTGAACATTCTCAAAATTAACCATGCACAACTACAGATCAAGGGGAGCCTACATAACAAATTTCAGAAAGATCCCTCAAGTACTCCCCCGAGAAATAGAGATAACAAACCTTTAATGTCACAATCCAGGACGGAGGCCTGTCTGCCATTTTGTTTATCTGATCAGTTTCAAAAGTAAACATGCACAACGAGGGAAGAAGGGGATACTACATATAAAATTTGAGAAAGATCTCTCCTGTACTTCCTGAGAAATAGCCATAACAAACCTTCACTGTCAAAATCCAAGATGGCAGACTGTCGACTGTTCTGTTTATGCACAACTTTAGGGACGAAGGGGAACCTACATGTAAAATTTGAGAAAGATCCCTCTGGCACTTCCTGTATCCCTCACCTGGATATTGAAGCAGTCATAGCAAAATGTTAAATAAGTATTATACTGTACTACAAATATTTCCAAATATTGGCTCTGTCTCTCAGCAACACCCTTACCTAATTTGGACCCATTTTCCTGTTCCCTTTGGGATATATAGGGGCTTGGTTTCTACAACATTGAATCATGTTGGGCCAAGGGCACTCTAAATCAAATTAGATTAAGATAAAGCTATAAGATAAAGTAGGTAAATGTCATTTTTTATTCGCAGACTTTGTTGGGCTCCATCTAAGGAAGCTACTTGTTAATATCACAACTTCATGCCTTTCACTTCTTCAAAAGCTGTTTGCAGTTTGTGACCTTGAAAGAAGGTTGAGGTAATTTTCAATAGCAAACTTTGTCAGTCTCCATCTGTGAGTTACCAACCAAATATTATAATGCTACATGTATGCCTTTAGATTATTCAGAAGCAATTTGAATTGTTTGACATATTTGATTCCTGTGACCATGATAGTAGGTCAAGGTCATTTTCATTCTCAAACTTTGTTGAGCTCCATACCAAGAAGCCACCAGCCAAATATTAAGATTCTATACCTTACAGTTCTTCAGAAGAAGTTGTTTTAAGTATTTGACACTTTTGACCCCTGTGACCTTGAGAGTAGGTAAAGATTATTTTCGTGCTTAAACTTTGTTGGGCTCTTACCAACGAAGCCATCACCCAAATACAATGTATCATCAGGCTAGGCCTGTCCATTATTCAGAAGTCGTTCAAATGAAAAGTTCACGGACGATGTCGGACAGACGCCACGCCATGGCACAAGCTCACTAGCCCTTCGGGAAGGTGAGCTAATAACTTACATTATGTAACACTAAAGTAGACAAAAACACACTGAAATATAACTTAACACACCTGTAGATAAAAACACATTTAATAAGTTCAACTAGGTGACGGATAGTGTCCCTGATCTTATCACGTGTCAACAACAAACATACTCTACACCTTGGAATTAGATTCTAAGTCCGTGTCTACACAAAACAGTTCATCATGTCCTTTAGCCACATGTGACCAAGCAGTGAGTGACTTGTCTTTAAGAAGAAATAATTCCTGTTAATTATCAAAATTATTAAGAAAATTATCAAGATTAGCATATCTAAATTTTGTTATCAAATTCATTTGAAAGGTCAACTTTTTAAGTAGTTACCCTAGCATGACAAGATATAGCAAGCTGTTAGAAACGATATTAAATTAGTAATAAGCCGGGTTGTTTCCAAATTAGAATCTATACGCATGCAAAGATATTTCTATATCATTCTTTTACTGAGATACGTTTGCTACTTTATGAGTATGGAGCACAAGAAACTTAGTTTGATGAATGATGAGTAGAATGGAGAACCTTGGCGGAGATATCTGGATAGTAGCTCAATGTAGCTTGGGACGATTAATGGCCAACAAGGAACCATAACCATATTAAGTAAAGGTATTTTGTAATAATTTGTTTAGACAAGTAATTATAACCTCGAGCTGTGTGGGTATATTACAACACGTGGTGGAATAGATTGTCCAATCCCACCATTAATTACACATTCATACCTTAACGATCCTTATAGTTGTAGTAATACAGAAAATATTGGAAGTACTAACCAGTAGTAACCTCTCTCATGTCAAAGGTGTTATTTATACAGGGTAGATAAATCCCCGGTACAGATCCCCTGTACTATAGTGTACATGTATATATACATGATAAGGATGGGGAGTAAGGTGTCGTGGATAAAGATAAACAGGTCTAACCTAGATCTTAAAATGTCAATATTTGTGTATAGTGCACACTTTTTAGGGGGAAATGATTATACCCAGAAAGGGGTGCACACTATACACAAGAACAATCCAGCTCTGGGTCACGACCTTTATCCTAAATTATTTGGGGATTCTCACATGTAGGGATTATTGTCCTCTGTACAGGAATTCACTTCACTGTGGCAAGATGTTGATCACAGATGTGAAGACACTCTCGTTACATATATGTATGATCTTTTTAATAATTTAAAAACTGCCCTATTCAACATCAAAAATAAATTACGTTTAAAAATTGTCACTTTGTAATAATATTCAATTCGACAAGATATTGAAAATTGATCAGAATATTTCAACTACAAAATGTCAATAAGCTGTACAAGATACATGTGTTCAGCTTAACAGAAAACAAGGCCGTTAAAACCGGTCGACATTATCATCGTGTATCAGTCAACAATAAATCTCACAGAAAATACATCATGCATAATCAATATATACAGATAGAAAACGAAATGCCGAACAATAAATGGTGACAGTTCTTGACGGGGATTCATAATTATTCAACATTAAGTCTATCAACAACAAAAACCCGCACCATAGACAATAGGTCTACATGATATGGCATACAGATTGAATTTCTTACTAAAATTTTCCTTATTCAAATATCACTTTCATATTTCTGTGCTTGAATACATGAGTTTAAAATTGTATTACAGATAATTACCGTAAAGGAAGAAAAGGAACTTTTACCCAACACCTAATCCCACACTGCTACACTTACTATTGAATCATAAACATTATAGTTAACAACTTCAGGGACAACTTGCATTGGTCTATGCCATGAACGATTCCAGATTACTTGAACAATTTTACTTTGACATCTGATATCCATTGAAGAACTACCAGATCATCAACACAGAATGTATTTCATATGCTATCGTTTAAAACAAATGTTTTTAAAAGATCTTTTACATATCAAGGTCCATATATATTGAATAGTTAACCATTATATGTATACAGAACTGCAAAAGTCTATTATCTTTTAAGAAATGTGCCAAACAGTATTTTATGGGATAAAAACATGTATGCTCATCATTCGTGTAATTTGTGTAATTTAGCACATTATTTATCTAACTGTTGTATAGTTAAAATGTAATACCTGGACTGACCATGCTGGTAGGGCTCGGGTCATCGTTCATTTACAGCTGTTTCTGTGATAACAGTGGATGTAGAATATCGTAACAATTTACCATTCATAGTACCATTTTATCATTGTTGTATATAATGTACATTTTTTAATATGCTTGACCATATGGGAGACGAGTCTTTCACTCAATATGTAATCAAGTTTAAATAAAGACTATCATTATTATTATTATTCTAACAGACCTTGTATATGTATACCTTTGTTCTAATCTTCCACATAGAAACATGTCACATACAAAGTCTTAAGTGATGGAAGGATCAACTCCCTAGGACTTTAACCTAATGATATACACATATACTGGCGTATAGGACTTTCATACCAGTTACAATATGTAAATATTATTCTCTAAAGATACTGGCTATAAACAGTAATGTATCCTAAATCATTTCATTTATACATATGTTAATGTACAGTGGAGGTTAATGGCAAGTGTACCAGCAGTAAATTAGGTTCTGTTTCTTCGCTTGTTTTATGTTCATTTATAATATTTACTATGTGATTATCTGTACCACACATTTGTGTTCGTTTAGTAAAAATATAACCATTATTTCAAATTTGCATGTATGTTAGCCACACATAACGAACAACCGATCCCCATCAAGAACCGTCACCTTTATACCCTACACAAAACATGCTGATAGATGACAAACTCTACATGAAAGACAATTGTACATGTTGTTCCAGATCACTAACCATGCGTGCTGCTGTTTAGAAGTCACTGTAGAGTCAATTAGCTTCGTAGTCACACAAATACATGATTGGAGAACATATTCACTTCGTAGTCACACAAATACATGATTGGAGAACATATTCACTTTGCAGTCACACAAATACATGATTGGAGAACATATTCACTTTGAAATCACACAAATACATGATTGGAGAACATATCATTAATCAAGATATATTCTTTATCAAATGTTAGAAATAACAAGTAGTTTTTAAAAATGTGTAAATAAATACAACGTAGTTTTTGCAGCCAAAATTTGTAATAGGGCACTAGCTCGGTACACAAGAATGCTTCGTTAAATTAATTAGACTGGAAACAATGTCTGTTACACTTGCATGATCAGTAGTGCTTCATCATATAAGCTGACTTTACACACAATCAAAATGCAATAATAATATATATATTAATCTCCTTTTCAATAAAAAAAAATCCATTTAAGGTTTTACATTTTCTTTGTGTTAAATATTTAACAATCATTATTACAATGGACCTGTTTTTGTTGAAATATTTTGGCCTCCAAGGTATCAAGTATAAACAATAGGAAACGGTGCAGAAACAAATACAGAACAGATGATCAAATTCTTCAATGAGCTTCTTACAATAAAGGTATTCTCTGTTACCAATGAGCTTCTTACAATAAAGGTATTCTCTGTTACCAAAGAAAACACTTTTTGTTGTTATACATTTGTCACAAAACTGAATTATGCGTTCTGTAAAAAATATACTTATTTGACTACTTATCACGAGACTGACCCTCTATTGCATCGGTCAGATTTTCTTTTTTTCTTTAAGAATGAAATGATTTTTGGGGGGAAATGAAGGATGAATAAATGTTTAAGCTCATTTGATATGGAAAGTACAAGGTTATAATATGAAATCAATAGCAATATTTGATACACAACAGTGGTTGGTACTGCTACAGTATACGCTACCAAATTAAGTTTTAAAACTCTGATCCAGAGGGAAAAACAAGGTGTGCAAACACTGTATCATTCATTACTAACATCTGTGTGTGGTAAAAAATCGAAGACATATATAAAATTTCCCTGAATGCGAAGAGGAACAGTTCACCACAGGATGCCTGTTTGTTCAAAAACAGGATTTTTAATGCACATATTTAACCCAAGATTTGGAGTATTAGACAGTGGGTTAAAATCTGACCTTCATGCAGACTTTTGTGTTGCCCTTTTCCCCAACAAAAAAACTGTTAAGTAGAAGGACCGACTGGACAAATTCATATTTAAAAAGCCTATTTCTTGCACTGCTCCTCAACCACATCAAACAGAAAATGTACTGTTAAGACTGCTTTTCTAATCTGCAGATTTATATCCATCTACTTATTCAATGGGAGTTGACCAAATTTTAAATGTCCATCATGAGCGATGTATATGGATGAAAAGTATAACATTTATATGTATAAACATGTCTACTGCCAATTCTTACCTTTCAACAGTCATTATCTGTCCACTATGGAGGAGCACATTAAACTATTGTATATAATGAACCATGTCTATAGGCTAACTTCTCTCTTCTGTCCCTGGGGTCGGTTAGAATCATAGGTATTTTATATTTTTTGTACTATTGGGAAGCTGAGTGAACTAGTAACACACCTAAAACATTTATAAAGAAGCTAGGGTTCTTGTTCCTTTTACTTCAGATCTTCCCTCAGGCATTTGGTCCTCATTGTCAAAAGAATTCTTTGTGGAAATCAGAGATAACAAGTTTGATAGTACATAGTGCTGTATTGATAATGTAAAAATTTGCTTGGAAAACCCTACACACAAGTGACATGCCAACATGATACTTTGAATTTTCTTCTTATTTCTAAGAAATCCTTACGTACCTTTATATTTTACATATGTCAAAAAATTAACATTGAATATTCTTCAAAAACTAACTTTCCGATACCTTACAACTCTCTCTTTTACCTTCCAAACACATAAATTTTGTTTAAAATTGCACAAGGTCCTACATTACTTCTCCGCTATATTATATGGAGGTAGTGGTATATTGATAGCTTCATTACCAAGCTTCAGTCTCAGAGTCTTAGGATAAGAATAATACTTGGTTGGAGAGTAGAACTTGTTTGTTTCTATACCTGACGAATTTGTTTCGTGTGAAGAGTTACTCCCCTTTACACAGTCATTGTTATTGTTTCTACAGCAGTCAACTCTGTTGTCTTGAGGTTCCTTTAAACGCGGACTGTCATCAATCTTGAAGATGACATAGTCCGATTGATTCTGGTCCAGTTCCCGCTGGAGGTTAGGGTCAGGTCGCATACGAATTGTTAGTTTGGGGATCTTCTTTTCTGGGGACGGACTTGGAGAGGAATCATAACTGCTGCTCACTGAGTAAGATAGCTTACGCTTGCGGTCTCTGTGCTTTGTGTTACTACTGTACATTGTCAAGCACTGATCAGACACAGAGCGATACATCACATTGTTTTTGCTCTTTTTGGTCACCGATTCTTTTTTGTTGTTCGTGCCCCGTTCTATCACTTTCGTTGATGTTTCTGAAGTGACAAACGGACGTGTTAAAATGTCATGAATTGGCTGCTGAGATGGAGGTTCTGCCATTGTTGCAATCAAATGTTCTGACTTCACCGGTCTTTGTCCAAACACTGATTCTGACTCCCATATTTTGAATTCATCATCATTTGGAGTGCGAGAGGCAACGCCAAGGTCGTGTGAAGAGCTATGTAAACGGCTCCCAGCATCACACAGCATTGGCATGTCGAAGTTATTCCCTGAGTGACACTCCAGTTCCAGCTTAGCGGAGAGGTTGATAGCTGCAGCAGGTTTTACCTGATCGCAGTCTCGAGTGTCCAAAGCTTTGTCTGATGACGTCGACTGCTTCATGTGAAGTCTAGGACTCTGTCTTATTGGAACTGATGGAGAAAGTTTTGGGATCTTGCTGTTTGAACCACATGAAAGTCTTCTCTGCCGTTCGCAGTTGCTAATTCGTGTGAGTTTTGGGGAGGCTCGAATTGGGCATCGCATGTGTGACCCTTGTGTTGGTGACACATGCTCAGATTTAACTGTTGACATGGACTCTGTCTTAACTCTGCTTAACACACTATACTCACTTCTTACTTCTTCTAAATGCTGCACACAAGATGATACAGGAACACTATGAACAGAGTTGTCCAAACACTCTTCTTTAATCATTTCTGCAGTCCTCGTCATTTTGAATCGTGGACTCTGTCGCACAATTTGAGGATCATCCAGGGGTTCTGTCTTGATATGCAATGGAGACAACAGACCACTTTCCTCCTGGTTGGTGATATCAGCACAGACATATGCTGGCCCTTCACCTGTGCTGGATAACCCAGAGCCTCTTCCCCTTAAACGGGGACTGCTCCGGCACTTTGGAGAGCTACGGGGCCCAGATGATGAACACCCCTGTCCCTTTAATGTTTGAGATAATTTTCCATCTGAACTATGGTTGACCATTACCAACAAACCTGCATCTGAACTGGATTGTAACTGATTTGTATCCCTTTGATGGTTGATCCCCTCTTCAGATTTTATCACATCATTGCTGTCAGTTTCACACTCTTCAAAGCTAAAGCTCATTCTTTTACATGGTGATTTGATCTTAGCACACACAACAGCATTAGACATTTCATTTGAAGTTTGATTATTATTCTCACAATATGCAAATTTTCCAGCATGAGTACGCTTGAACTTCTTGCGACTTTTCCTGGGAGATTTGTTCATACGTGCGAGGACAGAGCTCGCTTTTACTGTCTTGTTTTGATTGATAGATGAAGGGAGCGTTGCTTCAATGACAACTTGTGGATCTGGGAGGGTAAGACCCTGAGAGAGAATGATTTCTGCATCATACCTTGTGATTCCACGCTTTTTGAGCTCTGCCGCCTTCAATAAATGGGACTGTTTCTTCAAGTTATCATCTCTGATGTCCCAGTTTTCTAAACACAGAAAAAACAATATTGTTATGTTAACGGATGATTCAAATTTATCCATCTATGATTCTAATTAAGTATTGCAAACCCAACAATTTGTTGCAACTTATAAGAATACTTGTAATGAGCTAATGCTGCTTTGTGTTAAAACAGGATGTTCAAGTAAAAATCTTCTATCTAGCATCTAACAATGCATCAACAAAAATACAAATCTGTTTGGCACATTATTTTAAGCAAGCTAATACTTGACATCTTGTCGACAGTGCTTAGGTCTCTAACAACTTCATTCTCTGATAATGATTTTTGTTGTATCCAACTTTATGGTAAATGGTAACACTTATGTTTTTTTCATGAGAGCTCGAGTTCATCAGGAGATATGAACCCAAATATAGTGTATTTACTATGAAATTTTGCAGTTCTATTCCAGAAAGCTGGTGTAGAGTTTAAGCATGTCACATAAAAATACCTGACAAGTGAAAACTTAAACCAAATCTATTCTAAAATGAAGCAGTTCATACGAGAAATGACAGAAGACTTGTCATCACTTCGTTTTAATGTCTATGATGACTTTAGACCTTGATCGTAACACACTCTGGCTTCAACACAACGTTACTGGAGATATTTTAAAACTTTACTTGTATTAAGTTTGATCAAATCAGTTGAAATGAAGTTGCTAGCGGAATAACAAGATATTGTACTAATGACCTTGAGGCTCTAAAACCAACTTCATGAAATCACGAGAGTGCTGACAAAAATACACTAAAAGATATTCCTTCCACAACTTCATCATGAGGTAAAATAGGAAGTATGAATGCACAGGACATAAACTATAATATAAGATTCTCCTAGTTTTCAAGGTATGAATATAAAACTGTCAGTTGTTTAACATAAGTACATGTTCAGTATTAGTATTATAGAATGGGCAGACATCATTTGATGAACTTAGTAGAACAGGTTAGAAGAGTAATAAAATCATAGGCATGGAATGATGTTATCTAACTGTTTGGCAGAATTCAGTAAAATGTCAGAAATAACATTATCATAAAACAGTTAAAACATCAAATTTTATTCATAACTGTCAAAATCACATAAAGGAATCTGGCTTAAGGAACGCATCGGTCAATTAAATCTGTGAGTAATTTTCCATGGCAGCTTAGGACCAGCAGTTTTGTCTATAGTGTTACTGTGTAAGTCTTAACAGTGCCCTTTTTATGACGTAAACTTTGTAATCAAAACAAACAATTTCTTGAAATTATAAACACTGAATCTGACAAAATTCTGTTATTTTGACCATAAACTTGGTAGAAATAGACATAAAAATTACATGTGTCTGTGCCTGAAGGCTAAGGATTAAGCTTTCATTTGACCTTTCATCCTCTGGAAAGATTGCAGAAAACCAAATCAACTCCATGCATCCAGTTTCCTCACTGGAGCAGATTGCTTCATTCTGACTTCAGGACATTCTGGGATTAACACTGTAGATAAGTACAAGTTTGATAGCAAGTGATAAGATGAAAAGCATATTACTTGATTCATAACTAGCAATACCATTGCCGAATTCTGCTGCGCCTGTCATTCCTGCTGATGGTCGACTTTTCTCTGTCTCAATTTTCAGCCTCGTTAGCCTATCGTCAGTGTCCCGGAGTCGGTACCCTTTCTCCAGTTGATCTGCTGGTACAGAGTTTTTGGGCCTGAATGCCCCCACCTTACGTCTGTGTCAGAAGAGAGCACTTCATTAGTTATTGATGTTTGATTGAAACATCAAAAGAACATCTCATCACAAAATTCCATTTAGAACTACTAAATGCTTCCTCCTGCAGTACATATATGGTAGTAACAGTTAGGATTTGCTGTTCGATATCGTCAATACTTCCTCCTGCAGTACATATATGGTAGTAACCGTTAGGATTTGCTGTTCAAAATCGTAAATGCTTCCTCCTGCAGTACATATATTGTAGTAACTGTTAGGATTTGCTTTTCGATATCGTCAATGCTTCCTCCTGCAGAACATATATGGTAGTAACTGTTAGGATTTGCTGTGTAACTGTTAGGATTTGCTGTTCGATATCGTATCAATTAACTAAATCGCACTTTATCCCTAGGGCTTGGACCAGTTGTTTAAGAAACACTGCAGTAAGAACAAAACCAAATTCTCCACTGAGCTGTTGACCTTGGGAGTAGAGAAATGTGACACCTAACTGTTAGGATTTGCTGTTCGATATCGTCAATACTTCCTCCTGCAGTACATATATTGTAGTAACTGTTAGGATTTGCTTTTCGATATCGTCAATGCTTCCTCCTGCAGTTCATATATGGTAGTAACTGTTAGGATTTGCGGTTCGATATCGTAAATGCTTCCTCCTGCAGTACATATATGGTGGTAACTGTTAGGATTTGCTGTTCGATATCGTATCAATTAACTAAATAGCACTTTAGCCCTAGGGCTTGGACCAGTTGTTTAAGAAACACTGCAGTAAGAACAAAACCAAATTCTCCACTGAGCTGTTGACCTTGGGAGTAGAGAAATGTGACACCTAACTGTTAGGATTTGCTGTTCGATATCGTAAATGCTCCCTCCTGCAGTACATATATGGTAGTAACTGCTAGGATTTGCTGTTCGATATCGTAACTGCTTCCTCCTGCAGTACATATATGGTAGTAACTGTAAGGATTTGCTGTTCGATATCGTCAATACTTCCTACTGCAGTACATATATGGTAGTAACTGTTATGATTTGCTGTTCGATATCGTCAATGCTTCCTCCTGCAGTTCATATATGGTAGTAACTGTTAGGATTTGCTGTGTAACTGTTAGGATTTGCTGTTCGATATCGTATCAATTAACTAAATCGCACTTTATCCCTAGGGCTTGGACCAGTTGTTTAAGAAACACTGCAGTAAGAACAAAACCAAATTCTCCACTGAGCTGTTGACCTTGGGAGTAGAGAAATGTGACACCTAACTGTTAGGATTTGCTGTTCGATATCGTCAATCCTTCCTCCTGCAGTACATATATGGTAGTACCTGTTAGGATTTGCTGTTCGCTATCGTATCAATTAACTAAATAGCACTTTAGCCCTAGGGCTTGGACCAGTTGTTTAAGAAACACTGCAGTAAGAACAAAACCAAATTCTCCACTGAGCTGTTGACCTTGGGAGTAGAGAAATGTGACACCTAACTGTTAGGATTTGCTGTTCGATATCGTCAATACTTCCGCCTGCAGTACATATATGGTAGTAACTGTTATGATTTGCTGTTCGATATCGTCAATGCTTCCTCCTGCAGAACATATATGGTAGTAACTGTTAGGATTTGCTGTTCAAAATCGTAAATGCTTCCTCCTGCAGTACATATATTGTAGTAACCGTTAGGATTTGCTGTTCAAACCCGTAAATGCTTCCTCCTGCAGTACATATATGGTGGTAACTGTTAGGATTTGCTGTTCGATATCGTCAATACTTCCTCCTGCAGTTCATATATGGTAGTAACTGTTAGGATTTGCTGTGTAACTGTTAGGATTTGCTGTTCGATATCGTCAATACTTCCTACTGCAGTACATATATGGTAGTAACTGTTAGGATTTGCTGTTCAAAATCGTAAATGCTTCCTCCTGCAGTACATATATTGTAGTAACCGTTAGGATTTGCTGTTCGATATCGTCAATGCTTCCTCCTGCAGTTCATATATGGTAGTAACTGTTAGGATTTGCTGTGTAACTGTTAGGATTTGCTGTTCGATATCGTCAATTCTTCCTCCTGCAGTACATATATGGTAGTAACAGTTAGGATTTGCTGTTCGATATCGTAAATGCTCCCTCCTGCAGTACATATATGGTAGTAACTGTTAGGATTTGCTGTTCGATATCGTATCAATTAACTAAATAGCACTTTATCCCTAGGGCTTGGACCAGTTGTTTAAGAAACACTGCAGTAAGAACAAAACCAAATTCTCCACTGAGCTGTTGACCTTGGGAGTAGAGAAATGTGACACCAGTCTGGTTATGATGTCCACATCTACAAAGTTACATTTCTACAAAACATATACCTAGTAATGTTTGGCAGTCTGTAACTTATGATCTGGATAATAATCAAACAGATAGACGGTACTGTACACTCCCCAATATCTCATACAGATGTATTAAAAGCAGGGTAAAATGATATTGTTAAATTAACAGTCCCAGACAGCTGTGAGGATCACTGGTACCAGGTATCTTAGAAGATACAGTGTCAACTCCTGGTTTTAAAGAGAACTTGTGTTGGTCTTCTTAACTAGGCTCTACACTAAATAATGACATAAAATTGTTTATCTATGAACATCCTCTGCTGAAATAATTTGCCTTTGTCAGGATTTCTGTGTTTGTGAAATTACGATACAAAGATAAAATAATTTGAACGAAAAACAGAACTGTGTACCTTTCACATGTTTCACATTCACAGAGGCAGTTGTTATCCCCGAAGAAATCCTCGCCGTACATACAGAAGATCTCCTCCCCTGGCTCAATGTCCCGGAGAACCTTTACACAGGCTGTATCACGACCAGTTGACACAAACTACAATCAAACAAACTGGTCAGTACTGAATTTCACCTAACCAAAAGTCATGTTCTAAACTTAAAAATTAAATTCTCCGGCAGGTCAATTTCAAGGATTTTTAATGAAAAAACTTACATCTTTGTTTTCATTTCAGTCTTTAAACTTGATCTTAAAAGAATTATAAATATATTAAATACTTCAATTTGCCCGCTTTGAAGAAAATTGCTATCTTTATGGGCTAACTTATCAGTAGTTATTCATATTCTTGAAAACATTGTACACATATAGTTAATTTTTAGTTAAAGAGTCAAAATAGCGAGGTGCTTACTTTAATAGTAGATATCACCAAAAAACAATTATGAGATACTTCTTAAAACTCAGGCAAATTTAACCACTGAAACGAGTTTCTCGTTTGTAACGTACCTAGCACAACGTGAATTTTAAAATGTTAATGTCATGGAACACGAATCATGGTGAAAAAAACTCTTTCTCAAGGAAGTTGTTCAGTCTAGCTTTAATGATAACTGCTGACTACTTTCAAAAAGTTTGGATGACAGCCATTGTCAATGAAGCTGCTGGCTGGTAGTCAAACCTGGTAACCACAACAGCTGGTACATACTAACCTTACAGTTGGGACGACAGTCATGGTTAATAAAGCTGCTGGCTGGGAGTCAAACCTGGTAACGACAACAGCCCGTACATACTGACCTTACAGTTGGGACGACAGTCATGTTTAATAAAGCTGCTGGCTGGTAGTCAACCCTGGTAACCACAACAGCTGGTACATACTAACCTTACAGTTGGGACGGCAGTCATGGTTAATAAAGCTGCTGGCTGGTAGTCAAACCTGGTAACCACAACAGCCCATACATACTAACTTTACAGTTGGGACGGCAGTCATGGTTAATAAAGCTGCTGGCTGGTAGTCAAACCTGGTAGCCACAACAGCCTGTACATACTAACCTTACAGTTGGGACGACAGTCATGGTTAATAAAGCTGGTGGCTGGTAGTCAAACCTGGTAACCACAACAGCTCATACATACTAACTTTACAGTTGGGACGGCAGTCATGGTTAATAAAGCTGCTGGCTGGGAGTCAAACCTGGTAACCACAACAGCCCATACATACTAACTTTACAGTTGGGACGGCAGTCATGGTTAATAAAGCTGCTGGCTGGGAGTCAAACCTGGTAACCACAACAGCCCATACATACTAACCTTACAGTTGGGACGGCAGTCATGGTTAATAAAGCTGCTGGCTGGGAGTCAAACCTGGTAACCACAACAGCCCATACATACTAACTTTACAGTTGCGACGGCAGTCATGGTTAATAAAGCTGCTGGCTGGGAGTCAAACTTGGTAACCACAACAGCCTGTACATACTAACCTTACAGTTGGGACGACAGTCATGGTTAATAAAGCTAGCTGGCCCGAGCCATAGCTGGGCGCAGTTTTTGCGACAGGAATACATGACACTGAAGTCATTGATGCCAGGCCGCAGAAACTGCTCCTCTTCTTCCTTAGTTAGCTCAGCGATACAGCCCACCAACATTGGGATCTTGTCATTCTTCTGCCTGTGGACAGAAACATTTTGTTATGCTTAATAGTGATGAACCTCCTATTTATGAAACCCTATTTGTCATTAGACATACCCAGTAAATACTTTTTTATATGGTACAGCACTATATTTATTTTTTCAATGCTTCCTTGAAAATTGCCAAAAAAGTTTAGGGTATAAAGCACCAAAAGTTAGGTAGGTTGGATAACTGGATACAAAAAACTTCATTTTGGGCATAACAAAACCCTGTTATTGGAAATCAAAAATGCAACATCAAAACCTGTTTTTTAGAACCTGGAACCTTTCAAAATTTATAGAATACTCTTTCCAACTTGAAGCTACCTAATAACTAGCGATCGACTGAACCAGTTCCCCCTTCTAAAACAAAGTCGTCAACCTTGACGATATGAGACTTGATACCACATATAATTTGTATTAATTTAACACAAACTGTAATTACAATATCTGTTTCTGGTATCAAACCTGGAACACATGTTCACCTAACTAGACTCACCAATGCTGTATGGAACAGATCTTGGCTCCCACCTGGTCCTCCATGCTGTAGCGGTAACAAGCTAGCAACTCAAAACCTGACCCCCGATGGAACATCCGCAAATATCGGAACACCTGAAAAACAAATAGTATTATTTAAAAGAAAACATTCTCTTAACTATCTAGATTGATTTATAAACAAATAGTTAGGATGCATATTTTCATCCTTTTTCCTTTGACAAACATTGTCGATGGCTGTTAAACAATACAAAAACATCCCTTTTCCTGACAAGTGATATGGATATCTGAAAGCAATTTTAACTATTATTATTTAAAACAACTTTATATAGATATTTTGAACCAATCAAGTATCTGAAAGAAAGAAAAAAGGAAAAAAGAAAACTGACAACTTAAACAAGAGGCCCAAGGGCATTAGCGGTCACCTATGTTATATTATAAAATCTGGTAGCTCAATCTTATTGTTGAGACGTGATGTGGAAATCAACATGTAAACAAAGTGAAATACAATACTTGTCATCTCACCAAAGGTTTAGAACTTTAAAAGCTATTCAAATAAATCATTTTGCTTTTGAGAAATATAATATCTATTGTTATTTAGCCAATTTTCCTCCCTGGCCAACCCCTGGGATAGGTCAGGATCTTACTTTCTGATACTATTTGATTTCATTATAACTATTCGAACCAAGTTTGAATTATTTCTTGCTGAAAATGGACAAGATATAGTTTGTTTGTAAAACATCTGAGTCTGATGAAGATTTTTTAACTCTTGATTTTCCCCATTTTGGCCTCACCCTAGGCCTCCAGTCCCTGGGGATGGGTCAGGATCTTATTTTCTCATACCGTCTAATTGCCATCTGGCCCCATAACCATTCCAACCAAGTTTGAATATTTTCCTGCTAAAAATGGACAAGTTTTATACCAAAAAGTGTTTTTCCCTATATAAAGTCAACTTTACCCCATCCCCAGGCGAGAATGGAGGGCCCATGGGTAATGAAATTGAACAAGAGGCCCATGGGCCTTAATGGTCACCTGATATATTTATACAGAGAGTTGATTTTGTTTTTAACACGAACAGAAATATTATTCAGTGACAAAAAATAATAAAACCACCTTATATCTAGCATACAGATTTAAGACTAAAAAGTATTTGAAACTAGCACCTCTGATTCTAAACAAGGAAAATGAAGAAAATTTAGCACACTGACTCCTTTGGGCCGCACCCTACAGCCCTTGGGGGTAGGGCTGGCTCAAAATTTTCAAAGTATCAAACTGTCAACTCAGAGTTATAATTCCAATCAAGTTTTTAACATGTAATGTTCAAAGTATCATTTGACATTATAAACCATAATAAATGTTGTGCCTCCCCCCCCCTCCCTTCTTCCCCAGGGGGTAAACATGAGACCCTATAAAAACTTAAGACCCTTCCATCTATGAAGAGTGTTTGATTCTACCATATTTGGGTCTTTGAGAAGATTTCTTTTTGAAATTTCAGTCAATTCAACCCTTTTTGGCCTCACCCATCAGACCCAGGGGTCAGTCAGGGCTCATGTGTGCATACCATCAAACTGCTATCCAATACTGATAATGCTAACCCAAATTGAATTACTTCCAATGAAAATTAAACAAATGTTGGTCCAAAATGCGATTTTCCTATATAAACGATAGTAAAGTTTACCCCCTCCCCAGGGGAAAACGTGAGACCCCAGGGTCATAAAATTCACAATTTTGGTAGAGCACCTTAAGACCCTTCCATCTATGAAGAGTATTTGATTCTACCATATCTGGGTCTTGAGGAGAAGATTTTTGAAATTTCAGTCAATTTGACCCTTTTTGGCCCCACCCATCAGCCCCGGGGGGTCAGTCAGGGCTCATATGTGCATACCATCAAACTGCTATCCAATACTGATAATGCTAACCCAAATTGAATTACTTCCAATGGAAATTAAACAAATGTTGGTCCAAAATGTGATTTCCCTATATATCCTAAAGTAAAGTTTACCCCCTCCCCAGGGGTACACGTGAGACCCCAGGGTCATAAAATTCACAATTTTGGTAGAGCACTCTAAGACCCTTCCATCTATGAAGAGTGTTTGATTCTACCATATCTGGGTCTTGAGAAGAAATTTTTGAAATTTCAGTCAATTCGACCCTTTTTGGCCCACCCAATAGCCCCGGGGGGTCAGTCAGGACAAAGATTTGTGATTGACATGAGCTGAAAGAGAAAAGGGGGTAACGGATTTCAGTCTGCCGTTATATCCCTTTGTATATATTAGTATAGGAGACCCCTATTTTTTAATATTACAAGTAAAGCGATCCATGCCCCTGTGGGGCAGGATTCCCAATTTTGCATTGTAATACCCTCTTGCACCAAGGTTGATTCTGACCAAAATCCAAGTTTGAATAAATTTCATTGAAAATAGACAAAATATACCCCAAACTGTTATTCCCTATATAAACTATAGTAAACAGATGGCCTGGGGGTACTTAAATTTACACTTTAAACAAAGGCCCGGATGATCTTTTCATCCATAAAGAGAAATTGACTGTAGTACTACCTCTGAGTCGGGAGAAGAAGATTTTTGATTTTTTTTTTAATTTTCTCTTTTGGCCCCTGGGGTTGGGTTAGGAATCCAAATTTTACAATTATGTAGCCTCATCTACCAAGGATGATTCTGACCAAGTTTAAAAAACATTCCATGCACTTGTTCTGGAGAAGAAGATGAAAATGTGAAAAGTTAACGCACAACGGACGCTATGGACAGAAAGCGATCAGAATAGGTCACTTGAGCAAAGCTCAGGTGACCTAAAAACAGTTGTAGCCTTTTGCATTATTATTTAATAGGTAGGTTTTATTGACCTTTCTATAGAATAATGAACTCTCAACATTTTCTTAAGCAAAAAGCCACAATAAATAAATTTATAATCAGTGTTCTCCCCAGGCTGACTTAGCATAACGGCACCGTTACGCATGAATTTTGAGCCGCTACGCATCACCATTTTACCGCTAGGCATGCTTTTGACTGTTACACATCAACTGACAAGTTCTCACAAATCGTGATAGGCCTAACCTCTTTTACCCTTTCCAATTAGACTCACCCTAATTAGACTAGCTTTTTATTGTTCTCTATGATCGACACCTGATCAACAAACTCTGCCCTGCGGGTAGATTTACCGGTGGGGATGTGAACTATGTATAGGTGTGAAACGTGAACAATAGACCACAATAACCAACGTGTAATTGATCTAATTATATGATGTCTGTTAATTATCAAGGCTTCAATCTACGTTTTGATTTCCATAGGTGACTGAGAACCAAAATAATAAATACAAATACATATATTGGACAATAATCTGTGGCCGGTAATTGCTCGCCATTTCCCCGATAACATTTATATATTCATGGATGACAATGCGCCAGTGCATCGAGCCCGCGTGGTAAGCGAATATATGAATGAAAATCACATAAACACAACTGAATGACCAGCTCAATCCTCCAACATGAATGTAATAGAAAACATGTGATTCAGGCTAAAGCTTGACATAAAATCGGGTCAAGAAACATCCAAACACGTGATCAGCTGTTCGCCGAAATTCACTGACTATGGCAACACATCTCAGTAGAATATGTAAGAGGACTGTACAAGTCAATTCCAGGACGACTGAATGAATTAATACGTATGAAAGGCAATTTAACCAAACACTGGGGTAGGTTATTTGTTATATCGCCTCCAAAATGACTTTTGAAATTACGGTTGTCAATGCAAACAAAACGCTTCCATTTTGAAAATGACAAATACTTATGTCCCTTGACTGTACCTTTGCTGTATTGTTTTCAGCCTTCAAATTTTAATTCTTGAAATAGGTAAGTTATGTGAGAAGCTTTTATCAACAAAAGATTGTCGATACAGCTTTTAGAAAACTTGAAATAAATTTGGCTCCAGTAAGATAGATCGTAAGCGAGCAGACTGCACATGGCAGCCATACCTAAATAATGTTACGTAATCTGTGATGCAATGGCTTTTGAAACATGGATGAGGAGCGTTAATCATTTTGGTGCAAAATTTATAAATAGCACATGGTTTTCCCTGTTTGACAGTAACAATAAAATATTTGTTTTACTGATTAATTACAATAATTCAATTTGATAACTATATCACAATTTAAGTTCATATTGTAAACAGCATTGTTGTGATAAAATTAAGATTTTTGTTTACTTAATGATAACAGGTAGCTAGGCCAGGTTAATTTCATAACTAAGGTGAATTTAAAAAATATCTCAGGCATTTAAAAATTAATCAATAATTTGTCAAAATAAATACCTTTGGCGTTTGGTTGGAATGTCATTGTAATTTAATTATCCTCAGACATTTATTCATTTATTTCTATGATGATATTCTTGGGAAAAAAATGCTGAAGCATTTGCTAAAATTATCCATTTTCTTGAGTCAGACTATTTTTTTGTAGGTATTAAAAAAATTAGTGATAAGAAAAAGAAAAGGGCAAGAAAATGAACAATAATAATGCAATATCAAGATTAAAGTAATGCTTTTCATTAAGATGTAACTATTTTTTTTTTTTTTTTTTTTTTCTGTTGTTAAGTGTTTTCTTTCTCAAAGTGGCTTTGCTCACGATTGATGGGTTGCGACGCGGAATTGGTTCACAGCGCCGCCCTGTGATGGAAGGGTTAAAAAATATATAAAAAATGCCATAGTGCATCAAAATATTTCTGGGGAGAACACTAATAATATACTGGTAGTACTCTTTTGATGCAGGTAATTTAATTGTGTTATGTATAGAAATGAAAAGGGGCTGCACCAAGGAAGATGCTTTTTGATTGCCATTCCCAAACTTTTATGGAATCGGAAAGGTTATAAATAATTGAAATATGATATGAGGTTGACAATTGCAGTAGAATTTTAGAGCAATCTGATTCTCTGTTCTCTTACATGTTGTTTGAAGACAGCTTGCTGGGGTTTAGTTTTGGTGAGGAGGAAGGTTCTCACACACTCCCCCATAACCAACTCTCGGTACGCTCTCTCCATGTTCTGGTGGGTCTTGAAGCGCTCAATCACCGCTTTCAAATCTTCTTGCATTTTACCTTTATAGGGACGGTATCTAGAGACAAAACAATGTTTGGTTATATACTTTATATTAACAATACACTATACTGATACTTAGTAAAATATTTTGTAAAGTCCAATTATCATTTTAGTTTTAAAGCTTACAGAAAAATACAAACATATATAATTGTTGTTTTTGTCAATGCAAACGTTGATGCAATGACGTTTCACTACTGACTCAAAGGTTGGATAGCCCACCAATCAAATTAATGCTAGAATTTTTGGTTTGTGAAAGTTTAATTATGGAATGATGCAAACCTGGTATTCATCTTGTGTGTACAAAATCCCAGATATGGATCCAGGGTTATAGCCGAGGCCATGTCGTCGTTGTCACACAGCTCCCCGGACGTCATCCCCGTGGAGGGGACTCCCCTTCCACCGGTCTCAACCACCATCTCACAGACTGCAACACATATGTCACAGTAATTTACTTAAATATTGAGTTGGTTACAATTTTATTTAAAATATGTAGATAATCTTTATTTGAGATAATAGTTTTTTTTTTATAAATAATGTAAATGTGACTTTTCATGCCAACTGATTGGACAAGTTTTTTCTGCTGCTTATTGAGTGCAATATCTATTTTTATTCAAAAAGTAATAGAAGGAACTGGACATTTTTCTTATGGGAGAAGATTTCTAGACTTGAAAATTTTCAGAATCCATGAAAACCCTGTAAACGTCTGTCACTACATTGGGGAAACTGTAAAAATACCCCAAAACACCTTAATGGGTGTGGGGTTTGGGCTGTGAGAAAGCATGCAAGCTATACAGGTTGGGCACAGCGGCACATATGGGTAATAATCCTGCATTTGGGTAACAGTTACCCATTTGCAGTAACAATTTTTTTATTTCTTGTGAAATAAAAACACATGCATGAAATTCTTGTAAACACTTGGAGTAAAAAAGGGTGTTATTCTTCCAACTTAATCCAATATATAACACAATGAACTACATTTGTTCACAAAAAGTTATCGTGAAGTCAATGGGATCATCCAGCGCACACCGTTATAAAAGGTGAGCATGATTTTTCTGTGTGCTATTTATAGCTGCTCTACAGAACACTATAAGTAATGGAGGTATTTTCACAAACATTTAGACAACTCAATTAACATATTTTTGTGCAGAATTGTACCTCATTGTATTATTTATTGGATTATGTTGAACGAATGACGCCCTTTTTTGCTCCAGGTGTTTAAAAGAACTGTGTGTTTTTATTTCACTTTATTCCCTATCTGATTAATAAAATTAATAAAACTGTTAACGTAGCTCTGGACAACGAACGGACGATTTCTGATAATTGGTCAGAGCCGAGAGTATTTTCGTTCTTTTGTAACCCATATGCAGGATTAATTATTACCCATATACGCTGTTGTGCCTAACCTGTTATAAAGAACATTTTAGAGTGGTCACAAGTCCAAGAAAAAGAACAGGGAACTGGGATCCAAATTTTTTTGATCATTTATATTTCCCCCCTTTTTTTATAACATTGGTCTTGATCATCACCTAACAATACAAATCTTTACTTTTTTTTGTACATTTTGAATGTACCAAGGGGAGTAACTCTATATACTACCGACGATATACTGCATCTAAAAACAATGCAATGTGTGTCGTCATAACATGTTCTGCAAATTTGTCACATATTACAAATATTTAAAATATGAAATTGCTATCAGGACAGCTCAATGACTTATGTTGTCAAATGTATTTACTGTATGGGGATACACAGGGAACAGTAACATATAAGCCAATCAACGGGCACTTCCAGGTTCAAACTTTGTCTGCAAAAACCCAAGTACGAGATATAAAACTGCTTCACAAACCCGGTATTTCCTGTAACAGAAACCAAATCCTTGCTTTTCTGATATACAAAATGTCTGACCCTTTCAACGTCAGAAAAAAACACCTCTTCTTTTATGTCAGTCAACTATTTAAGGGTCAATACACACTTCGATATTTGAAATATAGGGCAAACCCAAGCTAATATTGAATGAAAACAAAGTATGTTGCAGAGAAAATGCACCGACAGAATCTGCTACTTTTCATATTAATGAAAAGATAAATATTTGGTCTTCCCAATATAAACGAATTACAGCCACGTTTTTATCTTTCTGATATGTAATTTTGATTCGAAACAACCAGAATTACCTGTTTCGTTTCAGATACCGATCCGTCCTCATCGATAAAAGGAAATTTGTGGCAAGGCACACAAAATATTTTGCACAGAAAATAGTTCTCATAAATAACAATGTTTGTCGGCATACCGCTATATATTTGTTAATTATACAGTCATTTCATAATCAATTACTTTGTTATGATGTTAAATTCATCCATCATAATATCAATAGGGTAAAGTTTACAATGTGAGAGTTTACGCGAAGTGATATTTTCTTGACAAAAATGGTAAATAGTCCGGGAGCTCTCCATTAAGAAAGACGGGAAACTTAGCAACAGAGTGGAGGGAAATTTGAAGCGGGTTAGAAATGTGAATAACGTCTTTTTAAAGAAGGCCTAACAGCAAGGAATCTCGATTGTCAGATATTTTAGAAGTAGATTTGTCCATGTTCGTTTGATGTATGCGACTATTATTATGTCTTTGTTAGGCTAGCGAAATAAGATTTAGAGGGAGGCCACAGGCCCGACAGTCTGTCTTTTGTTTCTTTTCCCACTTTTTCACAAGATTCACTGGTACTTTCACAGTCATAATCTGATATCTTCAGTTCTGAAGTGACCTGCTCAATGGTTGTAATAACTCTTCCTAGATCAGAGATTTAAATCTCTGATTTAGATAGAGTTCCTACAGGAATTAGCTATATATATATATATATATAGCCTGACAGGCATCTGCGTCTGTCAATATTATACTAAGCACAGGAGCCTGAAATTCTGTCAAAATTAATAACAACAGTTATGCAACAAAAACCCTATAAAAATATATCTATTTTTTAAGCATATTATAGATATTTTTTTGTATTACTGTTATTTTTAATTCTTGACAGAATTTCAGGCTCCTTGTACATGTGCTATAGGTAAATATATGAAACAGTCTTCTGAAGTTCTGTATCCATATTGTTGACACCAAAATGTAAGGGAAGATTTTTTCATATTATATGTTGACATATATTATACTAACAAGGTGAAGTGCTGATATTAGCCCCTTAAACGGTTGGGTATACACCCTCAAATCGAGACATTTTTCTCGGCTCTCTAACAATAATATAGCTCTACTGACCTTACATTATCTAATACAAGGCCCAAATTCAGAACACAGGAAATTATGGTTCATTTGAATGCTAGTCGTTTCGGTAACAAGTCGGTTCGGGAGTCCCGAAGTCGTTTCGGGACAAAATTAAATCGTTTCGGGACTTACTCAAAGTCATTTCGGGACATAATAAAAAAATATAATCAAAATATAAATGAATGTTACAAGTTACATTTCTCTTTCCCGTTTTTGTAAAAATCTCTGTTAACACAGCTTTCGTCGTAACCCATTAGCAATGACATCACGATTTATGTGTACACAAGAGTACGCATATGGTGGCTTCGACTTATACGCGTGTTTGGGATAATTAGTTTTGCCAATTAGCGCCACGCTTGGGTTGCTTGAGGTGTACCTGCCGACATTGACAACCTGATTGACAACATGTTGTTAATTTGATGAAACTAATCCAATTATTTAATAGAGAGGAACAAACTTAACACCAAGTACCGAATGCGCGGTCAATACGGCCTAGGGATGTGTAGTGGACATCCACTACACACCCCTGATAGGCCCTATCAATTATCAATCAATTATTTTTACATAATTTGATTCTTTATTGAAGGTTCCTTATAGTTACCCTATTAATGTGGCCAACTTGATAAAGTTTCCCTTTAACAGAAGTACTAATAATGTTGACAGTAAATTCTGCACATAAAAAGTACAAAATTTTACAATGTTGACTACTAGTAGGGTGTGTCTGCATTTTCACACATTTTCTGTCTTTTTCAAATCAATCAAGAGGACAACAACAATTGTTTCATTTTCTATTAACACATCTACCACACAGCACTATAGTAATTAAACACAGGCATAATTTATACAATATATATAATAAATGAACTGTCAAATGGAAACCGGTAACCCGAGGATACATTAAAAAGAGGCACTAATAACACAATATATACACTAAATTTACTTTCAACTTCAATTTTTTTTTTTATCGCATCTTACAGATGCTTTTTAATCACATATTATAGATACAGAAAGCACTATATACATTAAAAAGAGGCAAATAGTCCTCAATTAAAAAGTAAACAAAGCAAACATAACAACAGTAGAAAATAATCGAGATGTCCCGAAACGACTTTTGACACTTGAAACGACCCGGAAAAAAGTCCCGAAACGACTTGTTACCGAAACGACCCGACACCGTTCATTTTACATTTAAAATGGGACATAGATTATAAAATTTTAGGTGGATTAAAGTGTCTGTAAAGCCCAGACAACTGTACAAAGTTATCTTAAGAGTGGGTGAAAATGAGGGCAAATCACATGCTAATTCAGGGTCATATGCAAGTTAAATTGCTTAACCTTGCTGAAATGTAATGGGAGAGTAGTACGTGTGCTGCCACTGAGGATTGAACCAGCCACCCAGTCGGTAGCTAAAGGGCGACTGGTTCTATGTGCAATTATTAAACCTGCCACAATAGTTGAGAATAAATTGAGAACTTTGGCAAACAGGTAAAATTACAGGCTCATAATCTAATCAAGTTGATCAATTATTTTGATTGACAATCAATATAAGCTTGTTTTATTAATGCCCTGATTAGGGGATAGTAAATGAGACAACCTACATGTATTTAGAGTGAACATTCCAGCTTACCTATAGGTCAGTTTTGATGAAAACAGTTCCTCTGTTTTTTCTAGAGAGTGAGACAAGTATGTGAAGTGAATATGCCATTATGGTCACTGTGGGTAGAGTTGTGTGGTATATTCCCAGGATACATCACAGTAAAAACATTTTTCATTGGATATTAGGAAGCGGCCATAGCAACATAGCATGCACACTGTCATTTGGAACAGGGCCCCAGAGGTAGCTGTTTCAAAAACATGATTATTTTAGATTTTCTGAAATATTTTTAAACTACATGTTCATAATTATCAGTAATGAAGATGGATTTGGAATATTTATATATGTTTCTAATTTTTCTTATTTACGTTTGTAGCAATTTCATTTAAAAGTATGTGGGGGGGGGAGAAAATTTTAGATTTAAAAAAATATTCTATGCTTTCAGTGTTTTTTGAATCACAAATTCTCATTCGTTAATTAAATATATATAATTTGGCAAGCCTTTTGAGGGTCAAAAGCAATTTAAAAAGATCATATACAGTAATACCCCAATATGGAGGTAATCTGAAACTCAGACTTTCATAGTAAATATTGAAATTGTTCACTAGCCTTCAAATAAAAGGTACCGTAATGGTGTAGTGGAATGGTCCTTTGTGCTTCTTTGTTCCTATGACAATGCTTCTTGTAATGGCAATACTATTTTTTATATCTCACATATATGCCACATTCACATTCAGAACTGTGCCACTCAAGTGTGTATATACAGTATGTACATTGCTCATATTAAAACATATAACTTGTAAATTGTAATATGCCATCATTTTTGGATTCAATAATTTGATATCTTTCAGAAAAATGCCAGGAAATGTAGAAATAAAAGCCAGGCTGCAGGATGTGGAGGGAGTACGGAAAATTTCTTCAGAATTGAGTCAATCATCAGGAGAGACTCTCATCCAAGAGGATGTGTTCTTCTTTACTCCGAACGGTCGACTGAAACTAAGAACCATTAAGGTACAACGTCCTACCTAGTACTGTAGTTATAAAATTAAATACAACAGAATGTAGGTATCAGTGTACAGTAGTGTATGGTGACCATGGGGGATATTTTTGTACAATGAATAACCCCTGTAATATTACATGTATCAAAATTAAGCAAAATGTATCGGCACCAAAAAGGGTATTTTAATACTAGGGTTGTCAAACCGAACAAATTTTAGTAATTACTCGAAAAATCTTCCAACAGCAGTCTGCGACGTTAGGCACTAGTCCGATGCCCACGACTAGTAAATTTAAGTCTGGACTAGTATTGAAAATATTTAACTAGTCCGACTGGACAAGTGGCAATTTTCCTCCAAAAAAATGGAAATATTGTTCATTGTATAACATTTTGCACAATAAAGCTTGTCACAAGTTTTAATCCCATTGGAAAATATGGTAGTCGTTGAGGCGTTCGAAATTGAAGCGTTTCGATGAGCGAGACTAGGTTCCGGAATTTAGTAGTTACCGAACATTACTTCTGGTTTATAACCACGTGAAACCAACCATGGCGATGTTGCTAAGCTGGAGAAAAGGTTCAAAACCAGCTAAGCCTGTCCGTGAACCAAAGGGAAAAAATGCTCTAACACGAAAGCTAAATTTACTGTTCTGGCTAGTGCTTAACGGCTCAATGGAAACAACAGTAATACTGTATTAGAGTAATTTGGACTAGCAAATTTACAGTCGGGCTATTAAAATTCTGGGTTCACTAGTCCAAATGACTAGTGAGGAAAAATGTTAACGTCACAGACTGCAACAGAGTAACCGGTTAATCTGTCAGTTTGGTAATCAAACAATAAACAACAGATACATAGTGTGTTTAGTGAATGTTCTAATAAAAATGTATTTACAATTATCAATTAGCACAATAGTTTACTCGCATAGTTGAAGCTCTCAACACTTATATGCAGGAAATACATACGTGTAATATAACCGTCGTCAGTTTATGAACCATTTACTTCAGGAAAGAGTGTTATACAATACAAGTTGTTTCTTCACTAACTCATATGCGGTTATATTGTTCTTGAGAAAAATAATTTGATAAACAAACTAATTCATTGATGAGTGAACATCATTTAATGTTTCACTGAAAGTGAAATCAGTCAAGTGTGTACTCTTCAAAGCCAATACTTCCCCTCAAGTTGGCATTCCACAACTTTATAATGAAATAACATATATTCTGGCTTACTTTTCATATCTGTTCAGGCTTTTTATGACATATGGTTAGCATCGCTTTGTCAATCTTTACTGTAAAGTACAATAACAACACTAAACGGTCAGTCTGAACTATGTTTTCATTACTACACTAAACAGTCAGTCTGAACTATGATTTCATTACTACACTAAGCGGTCAGTCTGAACTATGTTTTCATTACTACACTAAACAGTCAGTCTGAACTATGTTTTCATTACTACACTAAACGGTCAGTCTGAATTACGTTTTCATTACTACACTAAACGTTCAGTCTGAACTATGATTTCATTACTACACTCAACAGTCAGTCTGAACAATGATTTCATTACTACACTAAACGGTCAGTCTGAACTACGTTTTCATTACTACACTAAACGGTCAGTCTGAACTACATTTTCATTACTACACTAAACGGTCAGTCTGAACTATGTTTTCATTACTCAAACTTTCGATTTGGCTCTCAAGGAAAGATAAATTGTAGGGCTAAGCCAGGTAAACATGGGGCTCCACATGAAATTAAATGAATACATGTCCGATTATTCGGTTATTAATTTTGGCAACTGGTTTGCGGTCTTCCGACCGATTACCGGCAAACCGTTGACAACCCTAGTATTTACATAATGAAGTACTAGACTATGTATTTTGGCCATATACAAATATGGGTCTACACAACAAAAGCTAGCTTTTCATGTAGTCTATTTTTGTACTTGGCACTATCCTTGTGTATCTCAGACATGGCCTTTATTTTCAGGGCCAGGCCATTTCTACTGTACACTGATACCATAGAACAAAATCTGCTCTACCAAACTTTATAAAGTTGGATGTAAACTAGGCTTCAGCCCCCTCATCCATTCATTTAAAGGGATGTGCCAACAGCTACATTTAATTTTAAACAGATCTAAAGTCGATTCACAAAATCTCTTCAAAAATGTATCAGTACCTTTATTGATATTTTGGTAATGTTATGTAATATATAACATAATCAAAACTAGATAACCATTATTTCATCTGCTGATGAAAAAAAAATGTATTTATATAAATAAAGCTGCTTGAGTATTGTGCGTGTGAATTACTTTTGAGAAGAGAAATATACAATGACATTACATTGTTCTTTATTAAGGTTTTCTCCTTTAACCCCGGTAATCACTGTTACTCAATTCCAATAAGACCAAAACTGATACCATTCATACTTAACAATAAAGGGAAATCCCCGAGTCCCAGAACAGGGTTATACAAGGAGGACAATCTGTTATAGGGTTTGATAAGGGATTAGTTTTATTTTTGTGGGTAAGTTATATTCATTGTGTCCTAGCATTAGGCTATATGCTTTATTACAGTTGTAATAGTTGTAGACTTAATGGGTACTTTTTCTCACCCAAGATAACCTTGGTCAAATTTTTAGGTGTAAGTTGTGTGACGGATTAACATTTTTTAATACCAGGTATATGTGCTTACACATGTACAATGATGCTTTACTTGGAGGTTCGCTGGAAGTTTACTAGAAATGATGTAAGTAATTATGTTACAAAGAAATAATAAAAAGGGAAAGGTTAAGTTGTTTTGTTATCTTCTAACCCATCAAACATCTTGTAAATACACGAAATTAACTTGTAAAATATTACTGAATTGTATGTGTGTGATTTCAGTGGCGAATACAACAGAGCAGTCGAGGAGACTGACTCACAGGTGTGTTACAACTTAGCACAAACAAAAATTGGACAGTTTACACTGGTCCCTCTAAACAAAAATTGGACAGTTTACACTGGTCCCTCTCAGAGGTCCTTCTCACTTACGAGGGCTTTTCTTATCTTAGACTTAAATGATTCAGTTGTTGACAGAATGGTTCTAGGTGTTCAGTTGTTGACCACCATGCTTTTTGAGGCAACACAGAAAAAAAATCAATGACATAATTGTCTGTTTTTCAGGATGTTCGATCAGAACTCATCTTCTATGACCGGCCAGACAAAATTGGACCAAAGTTCAGTGACTACAGTAAAACAGAAGTAGCCAATCCAGAATCTCTGAAGGTACTGTACAAGATACAAGAAACTTTATTTAACGTCGCATATATCAAACATAGAAACATTAGCGCTGTAGCGCTATTTTTGCGACAAACATGATTAAAAGCAAACAGATAACAACAATTCATGCTATACACTATCACAGAAAGCTAGCACATAATCAGCGAGTAAAACATACAATAACATAGCAGCATATAGATAGATATCACAGGCACTAAATTTAAAGTACTATACTAAAAAATGATGTAAAGAGATATTAGTGAAACACCTGCATATCACACAGGTGTTGCTATATAATTGGAGGGTTAAAACACTTTAAGTGTAATGTACATACATGCTAATATAGCAAAAGAGCAAAAATTTACATAATATACACTTATATAGTGTAAATTAAAATAGGACGACAAGGTCTTGTAAGTAAAAGATATTGAGCTATAATGATGATTTTACTGTCACAGAGAAATGCTACAACACAGCTGTAGGTTGTTATCTACAGTCTGATGTATCCTCATCACTAGCTACATGTAGTAAGCTCATTAAAGCCAAGAGATCTGATGTCAATGCTGCTTTGACCAACTGAGGCCGCAAATATCTGTCAGGTATTTTATATTATCTGAACCAGATATGTTTAAATTCATTTTGAAGCATCAGTAGGCAAAATAGATTTAATTTATAGAAACGAATGTGGTAGGGAGTGGCTAACCTGCTAGTAAGTGCATAGGGAGATAACTATTGAAGACTGTTTTAACAGATTGTGTTGACCTTATGGAGCATCATATATTTTATCAAAACATGTAGTGAGAAAGAGGTTGTTACCATTTTATGATTTAGTAACCAGGTAAATTGCCTCATATGAGGTTGCTTTGTGAAACAAGAAATGTTAAATGATTATTATATTAAATAATTATTCATTCTATAACTTTTTTGGGCCGATAATGGGCTCGCTTCTCAATTGAAACTATTTCATATTTATGCCTAATTCCCAAAATTTGCAGTTGACTCCTGAAAATTTCCTTCCCAATTGGTATATTTTCTTCCCAAAATGAGACAAAAAGGTGTCTTCCCAAGTTGATTAAAAAAAAACAATGCTAACACATTTCTGTAATTAATTTGAAAGTTTTTTCACTGGTGGCCATCGCAATAGTTTTAATAAATCATTTCTAAAAAAAGAAATCCATAGCTAGAATTTTTATGAAAATATAATAACAGCGGAAAAAAAGAAATCGGGGTTCTAAGAGTAAAACGGTAACAGGGGTTACAGGACCCTGTCAGGATTCAAACACAGGACATTAAAATTTAAGAGAAGGTTAGATACTGCATATATGAAAAATTTCAGTGAAATTCTCTTAGTGTTCTAGCATTTCACTCAAGATAACATGAAATGACCATTGAATTATCTCCCTTCCATTACAAGTTTTGAGATGATTTTTTTTCCTTTGTTCAAAAACTTGATATATTTTGACATGTATGTGATAAAGTCCCATTTCATTTGAAATGTTAAAACAAATGCTGCATTGTGAGACATGTTATACCTACTATTGGTAGGGGACTATATTATTAATAAAAACTATTGCTATGTAACATAAGACTTCATAACAGTTGATGCTAGTGCTATGCTAGTGCTATGTCAGAAAATTGTATGTAAAGACAAACATTGCTATATGTAAGACACATTTTGCCTATATCTGTAGGAGACTTTACGTCAAGCCTTGGGTATAAAAGGTATGGTGAGGAAAGTGCGAAAACTGTACATGGTTGGCCAGACGCGGGTACACATTGACAATGTTGAGGGGCTCGGTGACTTCATGGAACTGGAGGTGAGAAATTTGCATTTCTTGGTCAATATTTCAGAAGGTATAGCCTTATTTGAATATTAAACGTTTGATTAAATAGCAATATGTAACTTTCAATTTTCATAAAGATGCTCCTTTAGTTTATAGACCAGTGTCTAGGTACCAGGTGAATTGATAACATTAAAAGCTTATATTATACCAACACAATTTGTCGTCATAACATTTCAAGCAAGTTGAAAAATCCAATCACCTTGACAGTTTTACTTAATTCCTGAAAGAATTTGTTGCAAATTTTATATTTTGTAAAGTGCAATATGATCTCTGTCTCTTTGTGTGTAATCTAGTTTAGAAAATTCTTATGAGTATTTATCAATTAAGTGCTTATAGGTAATCTTGAAACAAGATTTTGATATATTTATATTGTTTTTCTGCTCTACGTCAACATTGGCATCCTCACAAAAATTACTACAAACTGGCAGATTTGAAAGTCTTGTTAAATGATCATGTTTGCATGACCTCATTGGTATGGTATGTTCAATAAGAAAACAAAAATGAAAGGGAAAAAACCCCATAGCTAGATTCTAACAACATTCCATGATCTTTGGATGGTGGGTGCCAGTATTGCTCTGGTATCTCTAGGTGCTCTAAACATTAAGATAGTGCTATACCTGTTGCAGGTAATGATGCAGGAAGGACAGACAGCAGAAGAAGGACAGAAGATTGCGGAGGATCTGATGGATAAACTCGGTGTGAAACAGTCCGACTTGTTATCTGGAGCTTATATGGATATGATTCTTAAAAAGTCAGAAGCAGCTTGAAATATGCAAAACATCGACTTAAGCTTCATTAAGGAGGGGAAAATTCTCAAACCGGGTACACAGATGCCCCATAAATTGTAGATGAGGTGGATAATCTCTTTTCATGGAACATGTCCAAAAGTACAAATAATGAAGAACAGTTAAACAAAACAATACCCCAAAATACGGGATCATTGTTACCAAAACATTAAGCCAGGTTCTTGTTTGAGCCCGTGGTACAGGTATATAAGTTACCAGTGTCTAAATAGAGGTGGTTCAGTGGCACAGTGGATAATGCCTTTTAGCAAGATGGCTGGGGTTCAATTCTATGTACAGATGCGAAAAAGTATGGGGTGACCTGTCCAATCATATGGATTTTCTCCAGAGTAACTGTATCAAGACCCCAGCATGCTTCAATTCAGGCCAACAAGAGTGATTGATACACGTTTATAACTAATGTTGTGAAATGGATGCTGTTTAAAGTATACTAGGACTGGGGTTATGTTTTATCAGTGGAATATGTATACAATAATGTGAATCTCTGTCAATTTTTTGCAGAATTTTCCAGTGTAACAACATGAATCTGATTTTTTCTTAGATGTCTGTTTAAAAGATTTCTAGTACAACAATTTTTATCTATGATTCAATATATCGGATTACTTTCTAGAAGACCAATATTAAAGTGAATCTGTGGTTCAACTGTGTCAATTGCAATATTTCTACTACATGTACAAAAGTTAGCTTACTTAGTCTTAAGGACCAGGCTGAGACAGTTTAGAACAATTGGTAATTTCAATAATATTATTATTCACCTGAACACAAAATTTCTGTTTTGTTAGGAACCAATAGGCATACATTGATTTTATGTTAAATTTAGTCATTTTAATCCTAGTCATCATTAGTTGAACCTTTATTGATAAAGGGTACAGATCAAGGGAATTCATCCAAATTTGTTCTGAAGTATTGCTCGGCCAGGCCTAGGGGACTCGATATATAATATCATTATATATAAGAGGGGTGTGGCTTCCCTTACGGCAGGTCTAATGACTTTTTGAATATTAACTAATAATGGTGTAAATGATCACCTCATGACAAGGTTTTATTTTTGAGCTCATTTGAAGTACAATTTATGTGTTAGACTTCTGATTGGATATTTCCAACTTCTCAGTTTCCTGGTTGCCAATTCTGACAAACCTTTATACCAATGTTCCTGCTCTCATGCTCTTGATCTAACATCTATTTTTTAAATCAATTCACAATCAAAGATGGCCAACTTTTTCTTTACTGGCTGCAACAGTTTTGATGTCTCCTCATGATCATCTCCCGTCCGACTAATATTAACCAAACTAGTCCAGACTACACACTGTTGTTTTTTGGGTTGTTAGACATAATAACCTTATCCATAAATACCTAAAACACCTCATTATCAGGTTGGCACAATCGTTCTTCTGTGACCTGCTGTATGTTAAGAGGCGACTTATGTGGCCTCTCCTCTTCCCCCTACCCTTGTAGAATCGTCCTTCTGTAACCTGCTGTATGTTAAGAGGCGACTAATGTGGCCTCTCCTCTCCCCACTACCCCTGTAGAATCGTGGGGTTGTCTTCGTCCTTCTGTAACCTGCTGTATGTTAAGAGGCGACTAATGTGCCCTCTCCTCTTCCCCCTACCCTTGTAGAATCGTCCTTCTGTAACCTGCTGTATGTTAAGAGGCGATTAATGTGGCCTCTCCTCTTCCCGCTAACCTTGTAGAATCGTGGGGTTTTCTTCGTCCTTCTGCTAAGGGGACATTGAAGAAAACTTGTTCTGTTGCACTGATTGGGACAATTGGGATCTATCTTTTCCCATTTTTCTACTCTCCATTTGGCTACATGTACACCATCATCAAAGGACCTTAAAATAATACCAGATACACTTTGGTAGAATGTCATACTGATGTTGCTGCTGTTGCACTTTTCTCTGGGTAAAAAAAAATCTGAGGGCGACCAAGGTCTCCAGCTAGTGGAAGCATTTCAACCTTTTGACTAGTTAAGTTAATAAAGAATCAGGTTAGTGTTTCAAGCCTTATTGACCTCTTGTTATGTTTAAAACCGTTACTATTTTCTTTTCTTGTACAAACATGTAAATTAATGATTTGGTTCTTCCATCAGGATGTCATTAAACATTTGTATAACAAAATGTTTAAATGTTTTGAAAAAAATGTGTTAAATTTATGACAAGATCATATGTAAATTGCTGCTAACTGATGTGAATACAGATTTGATTACTGGTGGTATTCTGGGAAATACATAAAGCTTTTACAGTGTGTTAAATCTACATTTTATACCTATGTGTTCAGGAGTTTTTACTGATGCTATACAAATTACAATGTGTGTAAAGTATTGATTACATTAAATGTATTTTATACAAATCCTGGATTTTGTTTTATAAATCAATTTGTTTACAAATTTAAATGCAGCTGAAATTCAAAATAAAAATCACAATCCTGTTTTATTAGCTCACCTGGCTCGAAGGGCCATGCGAGCTTATGCCGTACTGCGTTGTCCGTCAACTGTTTCTTTGAACGACTTCTTCTGAAGAACTGGAGGACTTGGGGTCACGACATTTGACCAGTAGGTACATGTAGATGGGAAAGAGTGCTGTAAAGGTTCCTCATTGAAATGACCTTGACACACTTTCAAGGTCAGGTGTCAAATATGTGAAAAAATGAAAACAACAATATATAAAGGACCATAAGGACGATACTTGGATATGTTATGAACACCAGCTGTGCAAATCGTTTTTTTTTAAATTGCAGTAACAAGGTCAAAGGTCTGGCGATGCGCAAAGTAACAATAACATCATCTTAAAGTTACCGTGCCGTTATCTGTTGGAAAACTGTGGTTAAAATTGCAGTCATAAATTTCAATAAACATTTTTTTTAAATATTTTTAAAAATGTTAAGTATAGACGTGTGAAGCCTTTTCCCGATTTTTTTTTATAATATTTTATATCCTCCACACGTTTCACTTTCTGAGTGGGATATTAACGTATAAGAAATATAAGAAATAAAGAATTGTATTCTGTTAATAAATAACACATGAAGGTTTTAGTGGCATGGTACAGTTAAAAATGATACGGGTACAGTACCTGTTAGAAATTGTCAGATTTGTCTGATAATCTGATATTTCAGTTATCGTAGTCGATACGTACTTACCATACGTAAAGCATCAAATTATACATGTTTCCATATTGTATCTACGATAACATGCCCCGGATTTATCATGTTTTATTATTTTTTCATATTATTCCCGACAAGTGATTGGCCAGGAATGCATCACGTGTCCAACGATAAAAACCGATATTGACTTGGAGCGCGTGATTTTTTGTTAAAGGACTGGGTATTTCTAAAAATAGAATTATGACCCGTGTCTTCAAACAATGCACCGTCCCAACCCCGAAGCTTTTTTGTTGTGTTTTTTTCTCTCATATTGCTTACATTACTGTTTTGTAAAATAATAAAACAATTGTAGCCTTTAACTTCGGTCAATACCTGGATTTATCAACCCGAGAAAAGATATATTGACCTCGGACTGCGTCCTCGGTCAATATATCTTTTCTTGGGTCGATAAATCGGACTGCGTCCTCGGTCAATATATCTTTTCTTGGGTCGATAAATCCAGGTATCGACCTCAGCCAAAGGCTATAATTGAATATAATTTCACCCCAAACACTTAATACAAGTGATACGTGAATATCACCAGTGCAATCCGCGTTAATATAACTTAATAATACAAGTGCGATAGTATGTAAATTACATGTAAGGAAATTGTGATATACAGACCCAAAATAACCCATATATATATATGCACATATTGACCTATGACATGTTAACGTCAGCCTTGGACAGTGAAATGAATTATGCATGCTATGTAGAGACGAACTCTACTTTCGTTAATGTTCATACACATTTCGCTTTTGTGAAATATGGAGATAATTCCAGGCCGTATTTACGACGGCTAATTGAAGGCATTAAAACGTATCATAATCATATGGAATTTTATTCCATGTTTAGTTGCAGATATGTGTTCATTGATGTGCCGTTGTCAATTCATTTAAATGGGATGGCAATTATGGCAGAATATCAAGTGGCGCTTCGATAGTAAAATTAAATAGTGAATGCCCTCAGCCGAACTAACGAATGCCGTTATTCATTTTAAAAAACCCTCTACAGAACAGGTGGTAAAGCCGAATGTGGTAAAATATATAACAATTATTAATATACAACCCTTCCCTTAAGGAATCCTCTTCTATTTTAGCGGTTTCTGTGTTGAAGTGATGAACTATTTTGAATTTTCTTTTAAATTGACAAAACTTTGTATACAAATATTTTAGTTTAAAACGACACAAAAATTATGATTTAGAACAACTTTAAGCAGACCCGCTGAATAGAAGTTACAATTGTCCGACCAAAACATATTTTAATAATTGTTTGCAGGACCGAAAATGCCTTATTTTCCTTTCACTGTTCCTTCGTCGACTTGTCAAACAGCCTTTTTGCTTCCTTTCCTATTTTCCTATTTTTATTTGCTGTTCCGTCATAGGCTTATTTAAGGTACGAGATATTTCCAAGCATAGTTCTTAAAACAAACAGCTAAATATGATGAGCGTAGTTTTCCTCGTAACTTCGACTTGCTGTGTTCTTTCAAATTAACCAGTACTCCTTTAAATTTTGAAATTCATGATCAAGGGATTGCACACACCTGGCCCTTTGTGTCACCAACTGTTTGGCCCGTAGTATGACCGACGAGTCCGAGGAGGACGTGGCAGCTGTATGGCGCAGTGTAAGTCATTGTTTTGGTATGCTGTCTCTATTACCTAATGTTAAAGGTACATTCACCTGTGTGTGTGTGTGGCGTTCATCTTTAGACCCGATATGAAAAGTACAGAAGTGAATTTAGCCAACAGTTGTAATATAATCGTGTACTTTAAAACTACCAAGTTTCGGTTATGTTTATCTGACTCTTAGGATTACTAGGCTAAAAAAAACATAAATTTACGGAAAAGCTATCAAATGAAATAAATAAGTTCCAAATTAAAAATATTTTTGCACAGTTGAAATTCAATACATGTGTATTTTGTTATTTAAAGGTTAAGACTGGTTAACGTGATTTAATAACAGATCTGTAACCAGTATACACTGCCCTCCAAAAGTTCTGTTACATATTTTAAATTTTGCTGATTAATTATCTTTGACAAAACTATTTGAAAAATTAATTTTCTTTAAATGTTTTTCTATTAATGAAAAGGGATATAATGTGATAAAGATGATTTGCCATCATTGATTACCCAAATTGAATCACAAAAAGGGTTTTATAAAAAAATTCTGTTATTTCACATTTTACATAAATCTATCAGATGTTTGAGAATTCTTAGATTTACCTTAATGTACTCGATATTTAATTTTGATTTTAATTTGAAATGACAAAATACATCACTATCCACCATTCATTGATTATTTGTTATCTCTTAAGTATAGTTGTACTATTCAATCACTTTGCAAATACCCATGAGAAGAAATGCAGCGAATGATAAGGGAAGAATGATTCAAGTGTGCTTTTTACTATCGCAATGGTGTTGCTGCCGCCCAAACTGCAAGAATTATTGGAACCAGTATGTAAGTGAATGTTTTCATCGCGGATTTTGGTGCATTTGCATATTTACTTATCCAGAACCTGTCTATAGTTGTGTTACTGTTTCTCTTTCGTTGCAGACAGAACGTGTACAGGGCCATTAAACGGTTCCAAGATCCCGGGAACTATGAGGATCGAGAACGTTCTGGCCGGCCACGGATTTCTACCCCTCGGGATGATAGATTATTAGTCCGGACCAGCCTCAGAAATCGCAAGGATACCGTTCCTGAGCTTCGAACGGAGTGGATACAAAATGGTGTGGTAGCGACGAATACCACAGTGAGGAGACGATTACACAATGCGGGATTGAAAGGTTGTGTTACTGTCGAAAAACCACTTTTGAGTGCTACCCATCGTCGGAAAAGATTGACATTTGCACACAACCATGCAAATTGGACATTGGTGGACTGGTCGACTGCTTTATGGACTGACGAGTCTAAGTTTATCATTTTCCAAACAGATGGCAGGGCGTATGTGAGAAGAAGGGCAAATGCACAATTGCGGCAAGACTGTGTAGTGCATACAGTTAAGTTTGGTGGTGGCGGTGTGACAGTTTAGGGTGCAATGTCCTACCGAGGGACTGGATACCTTACTCCTTTGAAAGGAAATCTGAACAGAACCAAATACATTGATATTTTAGAAAACAGCGCGGTACCATCATCACATCTGCTAGGCTATGGAAACAACTATTTCTTCCAGGATGACAGTGCCCCATGCCACCGGGCACGAATAGTGAACGAATGGAAGGAGGACAACAATATTCTATCTTTGGAGTGGCCCAACAGTCCCCCGACTTAAACCCGATAGAAAACTTGTGGAGATATCTGGGTTTTGAAGTTCGCCGACACAAGATCAGAAATCTAAGGGAACTTGAAGCTTCCTTACAGCTTGCATGGGATGGAAGACCTGCTAGGATATGTAGAACTTTGGCTAGGAGTATGCCTGACCGTATACAGGATACAATACATATTAATAGAATTACATAATTTACAAAATTTACATAATAGCTGATTTTTGTAACATTATGTTAAATTAACATAATAAAATCAACAGAAATAATTGTCCAATAACTTAGTTAATAATATATACAAATGATAATAAAATCAAGATTGGCATAATTCTGTACTTTAAGTATATATCGAAAAATGCAAATGTAACAGAACTTTTGGAGGGCAGTGTATAAATCGTGCCTTCTCCACCATATCCACCATAAGCAATAAGATGTTTCACTAGATTACCTAGGTTACAGTAGATTACACTTTGTAATGCTTCGTTACATAGCTTTTAAAGTTAACTCGGGCTTGGTATTGAGTGTCAGACGTAGCAATGATTAACATCTTGTGATTTATGTTATAAACATTGTAATGTTGTAGTATTTGTGTTAAGCTCTCAAAATAATATTATTTATGTTATAAATTGCCTGATTTCTGTTGTAAATCATGTGATTTGTATTTAAAAAAAAGGAAATTGAATTTAAAATAATTATATAAGATATATATTAGACATTTTATGAAAATAATTTTTCTTCAATATATGGTTTATGTATATAATCCAGGTATCCTTGTTATAATAATTGTTTATAACATATATCTGTTCTTGTGAGTTTATCCTAAACTATAATCTACTCACTAAAGATTAGAGTTTCTAGATAAGATTCAATTACCAATACAGTGGTAAACGTTAACACTATCGTCTATGGAAAATCATTTGGTTCTGTGGTCCCTATAACGTTAACCTC